AATAAATATTTGCCGAAAAATTAATCAAGTGCGGGCAGGGCGGATAAATCCTTTCCTCTCCTTTATAAATATAATTTAGATGAAAATAATCTCATATAAAAATTATCTTCATGAATTTTCATATAAAATCTAAATAGATACATTTTAAAAATATATTCTCATAATTTTTAAAGATATATTATTGAATTTATATTAACAATCAAGATCTAGAAATGAAATATCTAATAATCAAGAAAATGAGTCATCATCCAATCAAAAATAATATATATTTTTTTTAATAATGATTAAATTTTATTATATATATATATAATTATTGCCCCCCCATATTCAGATATAAAAATTTTAAGATCGTAAGATTTGCCCTAAATCTCGTCCTTTCCAATCAAAATGAAATTTTCTCTCTATAACACATTCATTCCCTAGCAATATATCATCTTATGAAATATCAACTCCAAAATATGATCCAAGAAAAATCTCAATCTTTGCTCGAAAATATATATATTTCAAAAGAATTAGATTCCTATCAATTCTATGAAATACGATCGCCTTCATATTTTTCCGTACGAAATATGAATAATATCTTTAAAGAGAGAGAACGGCTTATTTTTTAAGATTAAATATCTATATAAAATTACTAGCTCATCTAAAATCTCTATAATACAATAAATTTATAAAAATATAAAGAATATCATAAAGAATAAATATTTAGAATTTATTTCAGCACTATGAAATTTTTCTTCATTTTCATCTTATTCAGAATATTAATATTTATAAATTCTTCCCTCCTTCTTCTATTCCAATTTCTATTCTCCGTATCATAATCTTTATTGTATGCCGTCTTCTAATATTTCGTGGCCTATAATCCGAAATCTATCGTGAGACGACCCGCGTTTATCTCTATAATTACGATCGTTATCTAAAGAGATATTTGTCTATTCTCGTTTTCGTTCCAATGTATATTCCAGTTTAAAACCCATCATTCACGCCCCATCCCTACGTCCCTACGATATAGGAAATCTCCAGGATCCCCGATGATTATGAGCATCGTATATCCCAACGTCCTATCCCTGATTGATGGCGTTCAAGATACGTCGCGAGGACACTACGTCCCTACGATATAGGAAATCTCCAGGATCCCCGATGGTTATGAACATCGTATATCCCAACGTCCTATCCCTGATTGATGGCACTCAAGCTACGTCGCGAGGACGCGACGGTCAAAAAACGACAAAATAGGGAGAATCGTGGCGCGACCTTTCGAATGCTTGGGATCATTTCCTAAGTTTTATGAACGTTTTGAGCACGTTTTGCGGACACACACAACATGATTTTGGTCCTATCTCGGACCCCTGCCGCCCCCATACTTGAACCCTCCTGCGGAGCATTCGGGAAAAGATCTACATCTATATACTTCATTCCTCAACAAGCCCAGAATGTTGCGATGGTGATCTCAAAGCCTGACCCCAAATATGTTCGCAAGTGTATGCAAGAATGAATCTTAAAGTCTAAAAGTCAACATATTCGATATCTGGTGTCTGATACGTTCCTTCAAGCAACCGTCATTCTCTACCAATCCAACTTTTGTCGCGATCTCGGGAAAGGCATTCCTAAATTCTCAGATTGATATCTGATCTTGAAGGATTCAGATTCAATCGCAAGAGGATCTGGGCGCATGCAGTTTGGGAACATCAGCCTTCCTCAGTGCTCTTGCTGTTAATTACATTGGTCATGTATTTGTTTCTTGTCGGGAGCTTTCTACAAACCTGACAAAGGCCAGTAGGCAACAAGTCACCACTCTGACACAGTTCGGTGACTCGTCGCGGAGTTTGCCCAAATGCACTCATACAAAAACGGGAAGGGAGTCCTGGACAGATCCACCCCTCTCTGAAACCGCCACTGCTCGAAATGTTAACCCCACAGCAGTGAGTCGACAAAACATGCCATGGTTGGGGCACGCCCCTTCAAGAATCGAGAACGATCACTCGGCTGCACAGCCACATTATCACAAAGGCACATTTGGAGGCTTCCATGCGACTTCACATGTCTCAACATATCCAACTGCAAAAGACAGGGCCACCAATTGTACTTCCATGCCTGGGTACCGCCAAGTCTGGCTGGAGTGCTCATGGGTGTGTGTGAGAGCACTGCCGCGACCTTTGGCGGTAGAAATAAGTCATGCTGCACGACACCTGGTCCTCCCGAGAAGAAACAAATCAGGTCTTCTTTGCAGGCACCAACAACATATGATCGGAAGCTTTGAACTTGACCTCTTGCTGGCCAGCTTTCTGACAACTGATTTGTAGAGCGCTGGGAAAGCGTCACAGTCACATGCAGCACTCCCCAAAAGGTAACATGAATTCGAACTGTCATCATCTTACATGATGCATCATCACACAGCTGCCCTGATGACTGAGCTAATTCCCTGCACTCAATTTAGGTCTTGCGCATCGGAGAAACATGCCTGCCAGCAATGGCAAGCGGCTCTGCTAACAAATGCGCTACAAAACTGGTGAAGCCGGCCATACTGCGATCTGCAGCACGCACAAGCATTCATTTCAACTTAGCCGACTTGGCGGGGAGTCTCGAACCAAGAGGCATCCTCGAGTCTCATCACTCACCATGTCAGCTTTCTGAACACAAGCTGTTGTCAGGGGCACTTTGCGTGGGGGCAAAGTGTAGATCGCCTTCATGGCGACGCTATAGACTTGATCCGCAAGACGCAATACGCAGGTCTCTGCACCCTTATATACTTGTAGCCTGTGCACTCCCCCTCTCCACATTGGATATCATGTTGCCCTTGCAGATCCGTCATATCCTACACAAAGCTTCGCCCGAGGCTTGCACTTAATGAGAGCTACGACAAACATTGATAAACTAAAAAAATGTTGGCTCTTCAGAGATACAACCCTCTGGCAGAAGAACGCAGGAGGGTTCACAGCTCGCGGCTGTGAACTTGTGAACAGAGTTATCAATGAGCCTGGCTGCTTCGGCAAAGATATCTGTAAGCGCTCGTAGAAACTAAGGTCGCTGGGTCTAAGCACAAATGGTTGCCAGGGTTCATTGATTTAGACCCAATGTTCGTTCCTTGACAATTTCTATGAGCCTTCTTCCTTGGCTACCTGAGCCTCCGTGGAATTCCATTAGCCATCTAAAGTGTCGGCAACGCTGCACTCACCTCGGAATAGCACATCTCGCTTATCAGTCCGCATGTTTGCTCAGACACTCGAATGCAACACGACAAAAGTTGGGCGCGCACTCGAAAAGCTGGCACGGGTGGAAACACTTCCGGATGAGAATGCCGTTGGACGCCTGCAAGGATGGCGCCAGTCGAAGCTAGCTAAGTTGGGCCAGTCCCGAATGCTCAGTTCGTTCAGAGTTCAGACGTGCTGTCTTGAGCCGTCGCGAACTGATCAGAGCACGCTTGCAAGGCCTGCAAGTCTTCGACACTCATGCCCTACAACAAGCCTGCTCTTGTGTACAGGTTGCGCTGCAGCAGGCTCCTTGCACAAAAAAAAGGCAACTTTACTTGCAGTTGTCAATGAGCAACTCTCAGCCTGAGTTGGGAAGCGTATGGCAGCTTGGAGGTGTGCAGGCAAGGCCTCGCGTAACTCGCGTAGGCTTCAATCAAGCTGCACCTCTTATGTACACTAGATGAATGACAGTGTGTGGGTATTCCAGTCATGAGCGAAGCCATCACCTGCTTGATCTGCGTCAACCTGTTCTCCTGACGGACTTGACACAACGAAGCGCAATTTTGAATTGAGATAGTCGCACACTGCGCAACCGACGCTTGTAGCGGAATTCATCCTAAAGCTCTCAAGCGGCAGGGCTCGATTTAAGTCTCTGTCAGTATGGGAGCATATGGGAGCTGAACTTTAAACTGCTGCCGGATCAGCGAGAAACATGCATAGGCCCCAAAACCGCTCCTGGATTCGGCGCACCTTACCCAGCTCAGCGCGAGCTGAGGCGACGAATCGCTCTAGTTCCTGCCAAGGATCTTGACAATCAAGATGTGGCAGTCAGACCGAGGATCCCAGAGGGATGCTAGCAGAATTTCCTGCAGCATCTAAGGAGAAAAAAACTGTGTCCCATTCCCCACCAACCCAGACCGCCAGCCCGGGTGTATGCAGCACAGCTTTACTTGGCAACTGGGCAACTTTGTCACAATCTCCATAACCAGCCAAGCACAACAGAGTGACCGGCTCCATCTTCCTGCTGCAAAGTCTGCATAGAATGAGCCCCGCATCAGACGATCCCATCCAACTCACATAATCCGGAAGATCCATCGGTCGAACTTGGGTACTGCTGCTACACTTAAGCATACTTGAGAGGTAGTGGAGGCTCAGCACAGCAGACATTTCGTTTCTTCTCGTCAGTGGTACTCCAGCGGGCAGCTTCGCGCAACAGCACCACTTGTCCAGCACACGTGGCAGAGTGGCAGTTTATAAAGTTTATGGCTAAAGTTCATCGACATCCATCCACGCAGAAAGCACCAGCCCCAACGGAACATGTGCCTGGCAGGGCAAGCTCAGAACAAAGCTGCGAACACGACCCAGATTGCAAATGGATGCAAGGGGTAATGCGCAAAGCTCTCCCCCCGAGGAGCTTTGGTGGTCACTGGACTGTTACGATTGTTCTGTTGCTAGGTTCAACCATGGATTCACCTGTAAGGCACCCATCGGCACCCAATGGGGGTGGAGCACCCTTGAACACTGGCTCCACATCTGAATTTGCTCTCGGTCCTAGATGGCATGCAATGGCATGCATTAAGAGCGCCGTCTTCGACGCTCAAACACCTGCCCCTCCCTTGCCTCTTGGCGCCAGGACTTTCCTCAGTGAGTGATTCGGCCCAGAAGACCAGACCCCACGCATTCATACGATGTGCAAAGTAACACAGAAGCCTGGGATGGGGGCAATGGGAGCCCAAGAGTGTGTTACAAAGTGGAGGCAGGCAAGCAATTAAAAGATGTTGGCTTCCGTTTTTGTTGCACCATTCGCACCTACGCAAAGCAAGACATCTTGGTATGCAGAAGCACTTCATGCGCCCTTAGATTTGGGAGTGCATGGCTACCGTATGCATGCGCATGCCGGGCCTTTGCAGCACTCTCACGTTGCTCTGAGGTTGGCGATGAGGAGGCTTGTTGCGCCAATGCCACAGCGCGGCCAGGACGATATGGGCCCAGCTTGCCTTGGCACAGCAAACACCGGGTTCGTCCATGGAATTTTAGCCAGAAGTTGGGGGCCCAAATTCCGACTTGCGTATTCAATTAATTATCCATCAAAGCACTGTTAGAATGCTACAAACTCAGTTGGCGCCCTACTGGTGGCCGGGTATGCATTTCTGGCACGTACGAACTGTAACAAAGAAGATAGGCTTCGGGCAGCGGTGGATGTAGTCGTCAAGGGCGCTGATGTCGGAGGGCTGCAGGTGTTTTTTTGAATGAACGCTCTGGCTTGCGGAACATCTGGTTTTCAAAAGAGGTTTGCAAGTACAGTGTGTGTACCTGCTGATCATTTGGTAATCTGAACGAATCTTTGTGACTTTACGCATCTCAGGGCATCTATGATGGCCGGGAAGCCCCAATCTGTACAGCTGCAACACAACCCAGTCGGGCCCTTCTGGCCTGAAGGTCACGTCCGCATGCTGCAAACCGCCCGCTTACGATGCCTTTTCAAGGCGGATACGTCAATATGCATCAGGGACGAGACATGCACTGCACGACTCAGCGGCACAGGCAGCTTAAGAGAGAATTACTGAGTGATTCGTAACGCAATTGTGCTTGGCGCTTCTGCTTCGCCCATCTGAGGGAAAGCAGCTTTTTGAAGCCGAGGCACAGGTCATTGCCAGGAACTTGCCATCTACCAGACGATGTGGGGCAGAGCGCATCGGGTCCACGCGAAGCTTGAAAGGCGGATATGGCCTCAGGTGGGTGCTATGAATCAACCTTTTACATTCAACACGCGCAGCTGCAACGGCAAGACAAGATGGCGCACGCAAGATAGATGACGGTCCGACTGGAATCTCAGGTAGCCGAGCAGCAGCAGACAAGTTGGAAACCCAGACAACGGGCAAAGCAAGGGCGCTGAAGGTCGAGTCCACCATCGAACCTCCGAAAATTCAGCTTGAGCAGCTCTGTTCAAACACTCTTCACACAGAGCACATCTGAGAGGATTTGTCTTGCTATGTCTTGCTTATGAGGCGCACGTCTGCCACGGAAAATGGCTCAGCTTAGGCCAGGACACTGCTGTTTGCAGCCTTGGGCAAATGTCTTGCTATGTCTTGCTTATGAGGCGCACGTCTGCCACGGAAAATGGCTCAGCTTAGGCCAGGACACTGCTGTTTGCAGCCTTGTCCTTGGCACGCTGTCTTTAATCAGGATTCTCTATGGATCTTTGCAGGAAAAATCAAAACAACGCAACAACGCAAGGCTGCTTTTGAACCTTGGCAGCAGACCTTGACCTTCTGTTTGTCCTGCCATGATTGCAGGTTTAATCGTGTGTCTCTATGGCTCCCTGCTACGGGCCACATGACGCAAGATGTCGCATGAAGCGCTCCTGCGACAGGATGTCCTTGAGCACTGGCTCAAGCGCTGCTTCTATCTCGGCTTCGTCAAAGTCTGGACTCCTCATTGCAGCACTAGTTTGGAGGAAGTTACGCTGGTCCAATGTGAGAGGAGTGGCCAGATGCAGACAGTGTCTGCATGTGCTGGTCAGTACTCATCCGCAGAGCTGAGGCAGACGCCATGGCTGGAAGACCGCCTCGATGTCTTCGTCATCGAGAGCCCTGGCTTCCATGGCAGTGTGGCTGCTTCCACGCCTTCTCAGAGACTTCTGAGAGGCTTGCCAGGGCTTCAGTGCGCTCACTGCAGGCACCTGTGGGAACAACTTGAGCCAAGCTGTGGCAGCTGTTCTTCGCACCTTTCTTTGCTCAGGCCTCAGGGTCTGCAGCTTCCGACCCTGGTGTAGCAGGAGGGGTAGCAGGCTCATCTGTCGAGCACCTGAAGAGGCAATATGAACTCCACGAAGCTGAACGGAGGTCCCACTTCAAGCCTTGTTCCGACACTTTCTGGCCACGATTTGCAGAAGGTGCTCTTTTCTTCAAGGACCTGAGTACCTGGCAACATTATAATGCAGCAAACCCAGCCTGTCAAGCCTTTCCAGGGTTCCCGACAACCGTTGACCGCGTCAAGTTCAATGATTGCCTTTGCAACGTGGAATTACAAGTGCTTGGCAGCTCTCCCCAGCATGCACAAAGCAAATCATCAATATGCTTCCGTTGCACGTTGCGGACAGGTGTGCTGCGAACACAGAATCCGAACAAGATCCAGGCAGGCTCAGCGTGAGCAAAAGCACGTAATACGTCTCCTCTCGGCAGCGGTCATCACATGGTCCATGGCCCTGTACCGATCTAATATCTGAATGCCAAGATTGTCTTAAGCTCTCCCGGGCATGCGCTGCCCGGTGGAGGCGGCAGTCCAGGTGGAGGGAAAAAAGTCAGGCCCCTGGAGTGCATCCAGCATCTAACACCAACTCAATCTCTTGGAGGCATTGAGCTGGGGCCCCGGCTCCAACGCATTGTAAGCACCTCGGCGACAAATTCAACTCAGCATATATCAAGCACCCCCCACGCTATCCTGCCACGTTGGCGACTAATTCTCGCCCTGAAAACTGCAAACTTGCCCTTGCTGCCAGAGTACGCTGAGCCAGGCCCGGGGGGATTGGAATGAACATGGGTCCCTTGGTGCTCGCCATTCCTTCAAGGTCACATGCGGCTTCGGCGTTCAGACGAGAGATTGAAGTCGAAAAGCAGATGATCACATGCTCTGCCTCCAGTCCTTTCTCTAAGCTCAGTCTGTTGACTGGTCAGGAGGCTACGAGCGTCTTGCCCTTAATTGCTCTGAAGCCAACATGCCGCGTCAACTTGACTCTGACTGTGTGCGCTTTGAAAGACTAACCCCGACGACCAAATCGCTGGCACGTGAACCCCTGGAGAGGTCCCAGCAAAAATCCTGAAACCACGGTGGCTGTCTTGTTTGAGATGTACTTGCTGCCTCCGAAGTCCAAAGCTCACAATTGCAACTGTTCCATGCTGATCTCGATTGCACATGCTTTCCTAGTAAGCAATGACAATTCTGAACGCACAAACTAAGTAATAACTAACCCGTAGCTATTACGAGATGTCCGAGACGGGGAAGCGCACTTTTTCCAACCATGTCAACTTCAGTGGCTGGATTCCCCGTCAAAACTTTTGTTGCACCAAGGTGCAACCTGTGGTGTCCCAATGTTGATTACATCGTCTCGTATTACGGAGACGGATCTGAAATTGTGCATTCCCGTCGCTGGTGTACGATTTCCCGTCGTAGTTTAGGACACCAGAGGAACCTACACATTAAAACACGAGTGGACATATTCTAGGCCAGGGATGTTTTCAAAGCCTAGACAAGATGCAACTTGAATGTCGCCAATCACTTTGAGGAACCTTTCTGTGATGGCCTTCTGAGGCAACTGTATGTGGGACCATAACAGTCCATGTGGTAGAGCCTCAAACCTACTGATTGGGTCCGACAAATTGGCCTTTGTCGGGACGCGCTCAATGCGGTGAGCGATACCCCTCCTGTTGTGCCACGTCCAGTGGGCACTAATCAAACAATTCAGGGGCTGGTGTTTGCCTACTTCCTTAATGAGGGCGTGACGAGCTGCCTCATGGTCGCAGCACTGAATGTAGAAGCTGCCGAAGATGGGCTCGCAGACCAGCGGTGCGATGATGGCAACCCAGGCTTCCAAGAGGTAGATGAACGCGGTATTGGAGCTGAATTGCTTTCGGATCTGTTGTGGCAGTCTACCTTGGAAGTACCACGCACGGTCTGATGTACCTGGTGGGAAGATGACTGCCCCCCAACCGTTCTCAACATTGGAGAAGTCGTGGGGACACCATCCATCTGGAACGTCGTCCCCTGGCTTGAGTTTGACGTCCCCTGCCATGTAGTAGGCGTCTGTGTAGATGACGGCGAAATGTCTATGTTGGATCTGTAGCGGCACTCGCACGGGCTTGCAATGTTGTATAATGTTGAGCAAGGCACAAAGGGCTGATCTGGTGGGTTTATCCAATTGTGTGATGTTGCTGTGTGCTCTGGCATAAATGGCTTTGAGCGGAGCAAGGAAGAACTTGCCGAAGAGTCGGCCGGTCAAGAAATTGCACTTGCTGGCCATGCGTCGGGCTTGGTCGGGGTCGAGTGTGTCCTTTTGTAAGCACGCTGTTATTTCGTGACACATACGTTGGACTCTCTGAGGGCACGGTGTGAATGTGATATGTTGTGGCTCTGTGCTTATAATGACTCCTTGTATCTTGTGTGTTGATGCTGGGGGTTTCGTTTGCTCGTCTTCATGTTGTACCCGAGTGCTCCGCTGAAGTCCTCGAATGCCTGAAAGCCCGAATCTGCATTGTGCTGTACTTCTGCGCTGCCATAATCATCGACGTAGTGCATGGTGGGACAGAGGAGGA